CCAGCCCGCCCCCTGTTGTCCCCCCCCCCCCCCCCCCCGCAGGAGAAGGGCTCCACCTTCCTCCAGCTGGGCTCCTCCACCGAGCAGCAGCTGCAGGTGATCTTTGAGGTGCTGGAGGAATACGATTGGACGGCCTTCGCCGTCGTCACCACCCTCTTCCCCGGCTACGAGGACTTCGTGGACTACGTGGAGGTTTTGACCGACAGCAGCTTCATCGGGTGGGAACACCGCGGCGTCCTCACCCTCAACTTGACCGACGACCCCGAGGGGACGCGGTTGCGCCGGCAGCTGCGTGAGGTCAGCGCCCAAATCCGCCTCCTCTACTGCTCGCGGGAAGAGGCCGAGGCCATTTTCCGAGCGGCGCGAGAAGCCGGTTTAGCCGGTCCCGGTTACATCTGGTTCGTGGTTGGCACCAACCTGGGGGGAAGCGACCAACTGCCGGAACATCTCCCCGCCGGTTTGTTCGCGGTGTTGTCGGCCGGTTGGCGGGATGACCTGCAACACCGGGTGCACAACGGCGTGGCCATCGTGGCCAAGGGCGCCGAGGCGCTGCTGCGCGACTACGGCTTCATCCCCGAATTCAACAACGACTGTCGGGCCCCCAACGTCACCCAGATCAATGACAACCTCCACCGGTGAGTGCGGCGGCACCGCTGGCGGTTGTCACCTGCAGCTCGGGGAGGTGACAGCTCCGTGATGGTGTTGCGTCCCCCAGGTACTTCATGAACATCACCTGGGGGCAGAAGGATTTCTCCTTTAACGAGGACGGCTACCTCGTCAACCCCTCGCTGGTTGTTATCTCCCTCAACAAGGAGCGGAGCTGGGAGGTGGTGAGTGTCCCCAGTGCCTGCACCGTGTCCCTGCGGTGTCACCATCCCCCGGGACGCCTGTCTGCTCCTCCTGGTGTTTGTCATTCCGGTCACGGTGACGTCTGGCTGTTGGCCTGGTGGCGCCGGCTCCTCTCGGCTACGCGGTGTCCCCCGAGGGCTGCGGTACCATCTGGCATTCACCCCCCGCCGTTGCGGTGTCATGCTGCCTCGTCACAACAACGCGTCCCTGAGGGGGTGGCGGTGACGCCTGGCCGGTGACGGTGACGCGGAAAGTCAGCCTCCTCCTGGGACCCTTCCTCAGCCAGTTCCCCACCGCCTCCCCCCCGAGGTGGCCCCGTGTCCGTCTGTCCGGGGGCCTGTCCGGTTGTAGGGCCGCCCGCTGGCCATGGCGGTGACATCAGATTGTCCCCAACGGTGACATCAGTCTGAGCGTGATGCAGGTGCCACCCACCACTGTTGTCCCTCGCAGGTGGGCAGCTGGGAACACCGGATCCTGCGGATGAAGTACCCGGTTTGGTCGCGTTACGGTAAATTCCTCCAACCGGTTGACGATGACCAACACCTGACGGTGGCCACACTGGAGGAGCGTCCCTTCGTCATCGTGGAGAACATCGACCCCGCCACCGGCACCTGCATCCGCGACTCCGTCCCCTGCCGCAAGCAGCTCAACCGCACCGCCAGGTGGGTGTCCCCACCGCCGCGGGGGTGTCCCCACTGCCAGGTGGGTGTCCCCACCGCTGTGGGGGTGTCCCCACCACCACGGGGGTGTCCCCACCGCCGCCGCAGGGGTGTCCCCACTGCTGTGAGGGTGTCCCCACCGCCCCTACGGTGTCCCCAGCATCGCTAGGGTGTCCCTGCTGCTGTGAGGGTGTCCCCACCGCCGCTGCAGCGGTGTCCTCAGCACCCTGGGGGTGTCCCCACTGCCCCGGGGGTGTTCCTACCGCCATGAGGGCATCCCCACCCCCACCATGGGGGTGTCCCCACTGCTGTGAGGATGTCCCCACCACCCCTATGGTGTCCCCAGCATCGCTAGGGTGTCCCCACTGCTCTGAGGGTGTCCCCAGCACACTGGGGGTGTCCCCAGCACCACCGTGGGGGTGTCCCCACCGCCGCCACAGGGGTGTCCCCACCACCGTGAGGGTGTCCCCACCGCCGCCATGAGGGTGTCTCCACCACACTGGGGGTGTCCCCACTTCCACGAGGATGTCCCCAGCACCACCGTGGGTGTGACCCCACTGCCCTGAGGGTGTCCCCACCACCGCTGCAGGGGTGTCCCCACCGCTGTGAGGTTGTCCCCACTGCCCTGGGGGTGTCCCCACTGTCATGAGGGTGTCCCCACCACCGCTACAGGGGTGTCCCCACCACTGCCCTGAGGGTGTCCCCATTGCCGCCCTGGCGGCGTCCCCACCACTGCCGTGAGGGTGTCCCCACCGCCACTGCGGTGTCCCCACCGCCCTGAGGGTGTCCCCAGCGCCACCGCGGGGGTGTCCCCAAGTGCCACCGTCCCCGCAGCCCCTCGGCGGAGCCGGCGCTCTTCGAGAAGAAGTGCTGCAAGGGGTTCTGCATCGACATCCTCAAGCGCTTGGCCCGCACCGTCGGCTTCACCTACGACCTCTACCTGGTCACCAACGGCAAGCACGGCAAGAAGATCGACGGCGTCTGGAACGGCATGGTGGGAGAGGTGGGACCCCCCCGCGCACGGCCCCGGGGGGCCGGGAGAGCCCCCCATTGCCCTTGG